CTGGAGGGGAAATGACCACAATGAACCTGACCTGTCCCCAGAAAATTATTTGGGAGAAACTTTTGCCTTTGATACGTGATGATACAAGGAAGGTTAGTGCTTGCTGCGGGCTGCCCTCCCTGTCGGGGATTCTTTCCCTTGCAGCATCGCCCTCGCCCGCAGACTTTGGCATCCTCCCGGGAGAGACATTCCGCTGGCCGAGAACGGGGCCATGGGTTTGGCCTAGACAAACGGGTATCTGTGAGGAGCAGCCGTGCTGGGACACCCACGGGAGCTCCGGCCAATTCCCTCGCCACCTCCTGGGCCCCGCCGCAGCAGCGAGGTGCAGGGAGCCCCCGCGGTCCGGGGAGGCGGGAGCGGCCGGAGCCCGGGCAGAGCCGCGTCCGTGCCCGCCCTGGGCGCCGGCCCGCGGCAGAGCCGGGGCGCTGCGAGCCCTATGCAAATCAGGGATCGGCAGGGTGACCAATCAGCGCCGCGGCGGCAGCGGCGGCAGCCAATGGGGCGAGGCGTGCGGCGGGCGGGCAGCGATATCCGCGGCGCGGCGGCGGCAGCGCGGGCAGTGCGGCGGCGGGCGGCGCGCAGGGCGGAGCGGCAGCGGTTCCTGCGGGTAAGGGCGGCGCGGCGCGGGCGGGGACGGCGCGGCCCCCGCGCGGTGTAACGGCGTTTGTCTCCCTGCAGGCGCCGGGACCCTCTGTGCGTGGCGCTGCTTGAGAGGCGGGGGCGAGGGGCCGCTGCCTGCCGGCCATGTCGGGCCGGGGAAAGTCCGGCGGAAAGGCGCGGGCCAAGGCCAAGTCGCGCTCGTCGCGGGCCGGGYTGCAGTTCCCCGTGGGGCGGGTGCACCGGCTGCTGMGGAAGGGTAACTACGCGGAGCGGGTGGGCGCCGGGGCGCCGGTGTACCTGGCGGCCGTGCTGGAGTACCTGTCGGCTGAGATCCTGGAGCTGGCGGGCAACGCGGCCCGCGACAACAAGAAGACGCGCATCATCCCGCGGCACCTGCAGCTCGCCATCCGCAACGACGAGGAGCTCAACAAGCTGCTGGGCGGCGTGACCATCGCCCAGGGCGGCGTCCTGCCCAACATCCAGGCCGTGCTGCTGCCTAAGAAGACGCAGAGCTCCAAGAAGTGAGCGCTGCCCCCCGTCCCCCTGCCCCCAGCTCCCTTCTCACCACTGCCTCACCTCTCCTCCCGAYGGGACTGGGGTTCCCCGTCCTGCCCTTCAGGCGGGCTGGGTGGCGAGCCCTGGCAGCACCCCACCAGACCTCCACTAGTTCCCCTGGCCTGGGCTGCAGGAGGGTGCTGGACAGGCATGGGTGAGGTCAGGCCCTGCTTGTGCCCCCCCTCTGCCTCTTCCCTCTGGAAGAAGTGCTTTTGGAGAAGGCAGCTGGATCGCAGCTGTTGGCAGTGGTGACATCTGGAGCCGTGTGGTTAGGTCACGGGGCAGAGCTGCTGGTAGCTGCTGAGGACTGTTCTGGCTGGCATGGGGATGGACACGGGCACCTTCGGCTGCCTCTCCCTTCCACCATCCCTGGGACTGTGCAGGGGCCCCCCCCAGCTGGCCCTGCTCACCCTGGTGTGTACTCACTGCTGCTGTGCCCCCGCCTCCATCCTCAGCAATGCCATCCCGGCCGCACTGCAGCTGCGAAGGCAGGGAGCTGGAAAATGCGAAGAGGAGGAAAAGTTTCTCCCGTGGCAAGAAGTGGCTGTTAGTCTTAGTTTTGTTCATGGTAAAACTAGTGCATTGCCTACTGTAAAGAAGCTTTGGTCCTATTTATTTTAAGGTCTCTTTATTTTTGGGTACTTGCCTGTAAGTCACCTCCTCGCAGCTCCCTGGCTCGGTGGGTGCTGGGGTACTTGATGTTCTCACATGCTKTAGGTCCTGGTAGCGGGGTGGGGTGGAGGCTGCGGTGACAAATCCCCTCAGAGAGCGTCGCAAGGTCAGGCACCCGCCGGGAGCGGGAGCTGCCATCTTCTGCCATGGCTCCCCTCCTCTCCCAGCTGCAGAAGCCCTTCATCTCGCTGAGAGCTACCCTGTACCCTGGTTGCACTTCTGGAAATGACATACTGTGTCTCCTTTTTGTTATTGTTTGTTTGTTTAGCACTATTTCTGGCTCTGAGAAATAAAGTGATGATGATATCTGTTAACTGTAACCCTTTATGGATTAATATTTCTTTTGAAAYCCACTAGAGTTTGTATTAAAGCCCACTCCTGGCTAGTGCCGTATTTATTTCCTGGCTGTGTGGCTAATGTCGAGCATGGGGGCAGGATAGCTGTCCCGTGACCCCTGGAATAGCTGATGCAGAGACAGCTTTCCTGCTGCCCAGCGCAGCCGCTTCTGTGAGGCCGATAGTCGTGTGCATGCAGCAGTGTCGAGGCAATCGGACCTAGACCTTCATCACATGTTTTTTAAGTAAAAAAGAGCATCTTCTATTTATGTGCTGTAAGTAGCATGTGTTCAACCTATTGAATCAGCTGTTAATCTTGTGGATGAAGTAACTTAGCCTGGCTCTGAGTGTAATGTTATCTAGAGTAGATGAACCTGGATGCTTGTCAGCTGGCTTTGTGCAGGGGTTTTCACTCTGGCATGTGGGAGCGCTGTGTTCATTGGTGTAGTGCTGATGGGGGTGTGGAGGTGTCCCACGGTTCCACTGGGGTATCCTGATCTCGGTGGGTGTGGGGCAGCAGGGCACAGCCCCACTGTGGCAGCACAGACCCCCTGGGATCTCTCTGCCTCCTGGAAAGGGACTGTTACCATCAGCGAGGTGGGGATGAGCAGTTTTCCTTTCTGCTGCCCAGTGTGGTGGTCAATGTGTCTGTATCCTAGTGTCTTGTTCTCTCCCTCTTGTTTTCTCCAGGACCAGCATTCTGTAAACCTGAGAGTGCTTTGTATTTCTTAGAAAAATGCAGATATGTGATACTGAAAAGAATGGTGCAAACCTGGTAYCTGATTAAACTGGTTCCCTGTTGAATGCTCTTAAATGTGCTGTGTCTTGTCACCTCACCAAACCCACAGAACCTGGCAGGCTCTCTGGTGTCTCGGCTCTGTTCTCCAAAGGGAAGGACTAGTAAAACACCAGACAGGACCACTGCTAGGCTGTGTTTGCCCTTCATTCAGACAGCCTCTTCCTACCCTGGGAGCGGATAATACTGTTGTCTGGCTCTTTTCCCTGCTTTGGGAACGCCACATTGCCTGGCTGCTCTGTCACAAGTGCCAGGAAGCTTCAGCTGCTCGTGGACTTCCCCCCAGTGCTGGAGGTGCATTCCCCACCCCATGGGCTGCTCCAGGACCCTTCTGGTGACTTTGCAGGCAAGTAGGCAGAGATGAGAAAAGCTGATCCTGAAGGGAAGGGAGGAACTTGGAGATGCAAGGCTGTTACTCTCACACCCTCTCCTTTGCTGGGCATTCCCAGATGGCTGTCSTGGAGCCTACTCTACAAACCAGCATTGTTCCCTGCTTGGATTTTAGGGAGGAAGAGTTGTGTGGGAAGCTTGGATGATTCCCAGTGCTGTTCGGTCCGTGCAGGGCTGTAGGAGGTGTGGGTCCGGGCTGGGAGTGCTGGGCTGGTCCCCAGAGGCCACTGTCACCTGCTGTTCTTCCAGGTGCTCTGCCAGGGCTTCCAGCCCAGGGCAGCCACAAGGACGGGGATGGAGGCAGCCCAGGAGCTCTGCAGCCACCGTGCATGTTGTGTGGCTCTGCTGAGGCTGGTGAGTGATGAGGGTGCTGTGACTGAGTGCTTGTGGCACACATAACCCTCGACACTGCTCCAGCTGTGTTCTGAACTTCTGCCAGCCCGTGATGGACCAGTAGGGATGTTGCAAGGCAGACCGAAGGAAATCCTGTCTGTTATGCCAAGCATTGCTGAAGTGCTTGGCTTTTGTCACCTCATGAACTTCACAGCAGAACRCTTGTGACCAGGAGAGTTGCAAATTTTGGTCTTTATTATAAGCTGGAGTGAATGTGGGCACTGTCAAGCCTGCAGCTTCAGGGACTGGTCTTGTGGCTTTCTGGAGGGGTGTTGCTGGTCCTCGCTCCTCCGAATGTTTCATAGCCCCAGAGCAGCTGAGCTCATAAAGTGTGAAAGACTTGGCTCAGTAGAGCCTTTCCCAGAGATCAAGCAAGCCTGGAAGGGTGTCTGTTGGTCAATGCTTTGCTTAAGGAGAGGGCTGGGAAGGCTGCAGGATTCTTCCCTTGCCTCCTCTTGGGTATACCTGAAGATGAAATGAACACAGACAGAAGCTGAAAGCTGCCTGCTGTGGGAGGCTGCTGTGCATCTCACCACGTGCAGYAATCTGCCAGCTGTCCCTCAGCTCTGGCAGTTTGATGAGGTGAGTCACTGGCTCTTGGAAGTCCCCAGGGCTTGGGTTTCTCTCCAGAGCCTGGCCCTCATGGCTGGCAGCACTCATGGGAGCTCACTCGGGGATGCTTCCACATCACAGCTCCTGGCAGGSTCAGCCTTTGAGACAGCTCCAGCTGGACTGGCACGGTGTGTCACCCTGCTGCCTCCCCTGTGCTGGGCAGCTGGAGGGTCACTGCCTTCCCTCTGCTCTTACCTGCCCACAGGAATGCACCTGCTGGTCTGCCTGGAGAGGTGGTTACAGTTCGCCTTGCAGAGGAGTGCCAAGGACAGCTGTGCCCTGAGATGGGCTTGGCTTGACCTCCCCTCCTGAGGAGCAGGGTGGCTGGCTTCTCTTGTTGAATGTAACAGGGAGTAAAACTTGCTTCCCTTCTCCCTGCTTGTTCTCCAAGGAACAAAGAGATAAAACAGCTGCCCCCAGACCTGGGCCCTGGAAGAAGGGGCTGTTCCTTTCCCAGGAGTGCTGAAAAGCCCTGCCAGGGCCTGTCACGCTGTCTGGCTGCTGTCCCCTTCCTCCTGCAGGGGATGTTGTGTACGGGCCTGATCCATGCCGTGTTCCCTGGGCACAGGGAGCATGTTGATGCTCCAGCACAGCAGCTCGCCAAAGCTAGTGCAGCTTTGGGGTAATGCTCCTGCCTGAAACTCTCCTCCCTCGCTGGTGGTGTGGGGCTCGGTTAGGATGATGGCAGCGCTGCCAGGGGCTTACCCACAGCCGGCCTGGGAGGTACCGTGCACCTCCCCCTCCTCCTGCCCTTCGTGCCCCACTTCCCGTCCCTGCGGCAGGGAGCCGGGCTGCCGGGTCTCATCCCCTCTGCTCCTGCAGCCCCGGTGCATGCCGTGGGTCCCGGGGCACAGAAGGCGATGAGCTGGAGCTCATCCCTCGCCCCGTGCTCCCTCCCGCAGCAGGCAGAACAAGATGGCCCAGATCCCTGTCGGGATTTACGCAACCTCGCCGGGTGCGCTATAAATAGGCACCGCCGGGGGGGCTCCGRCTCTCCCCCCGCTGCCGCTCCTGCCTGCGGGAATCCTGTTCAGGGATGCTCCGGGACACAGAGGCGGCTGCAGGTGCCCCCTGGGACCTGCCCCTGTCCTACCCAGGTAACTGCGGGGAGTCGATGCCGACCGGGGCGGGGGTCTGTGCTGCTGGTGTCCACCGGGGGTACCCCCGCCCCACTGCTCAACGAGCTCAGCCGAGTGCAGCTGCGCAAGGATCGCGCTCCTCCCCTGCCTCCATGGCGGGGGACCCTCCTTCCTCTCTCCTCCACTCGGAGGACGCGGGCTCTGGGCATTAACGCCCGGACGGATCCCGGCCAGCGGGGAAGCCCCGCTGGGACCAACCCCTTCCCAGCCCGCTCCCCGGCCCCTGCACGGAGCACACGGCAGCGCGGCGTTTTGTACCAATTTATTTGAAACGACGATAAATGAAAAGGAAAAAAATAAAAAGAAATCAAAAAAAAGACCCCACTAACCCAAACCCTCCCCAACCCACCCACCCCAGACCCATAAAAAAACATTAAAGGCCATTGCAGGTGCGGCCGCAGCCGCCAGGGGGCGGCCATTCCCGCGCGCCGGCCCGTTGCCATGGCGGCGGGGCCGCGGGCCGCCAGGGGGCGCCATGGCCCTTCGGGGCGGCC